AAACTTGAGCAAAAATACAAGAGAAGATAATTCACAAAAGATGAAAGATCCACAAAGTTATTATAACTTTGAAAATTAACATAAGAATTTTTAAAAGCCAATGCATATAAATAAAGTGAAGAGCAAGAAGCATATGAAAAACTAAGACCAGCAAACATTGCATACCCCACTTGCATGAAAGAAAAACAAGAAAAGACTAACACTGATTAAAAAAATTATTAGTTAACATTTATTTGTGTCATTTATGTTTTGGGATAGATGCTATATTTTAAAATATGGTCATCTAGTTTTCACATTATAGGCTACTACCACTGAATGTAGGTTATGCTGTCCTGATAAACAACCACAAAAAGAAACAATTGAAGCAAACTGAATTCTAACTATGGTGTAAAATAAAAAAATAAACTCATAAAATTTTAATCAATAAAAGACAAGGAAAATGAGCAATATAATGAAGAAACACTATTTGCCATTCAATATTAATTTCAATTCTTACAATATCTTTTTGAAGATAACATTTAATATTGGAATAGATTCATCATTATCAAAAAGTTAAATTCCATTATTATTGTCTTTTTTGTCAAAGAGAAAAGAATGTTGTAAACATAAGTAGTATAACATGCCTACTAACTTGCAAGCATGACAGAAATTGAATAAATTGATAGCATCATATAATTCAGACTTTCTGATTCTGATACTGTAATCCAAATCATATTATCACTTACATTATGATATTTTTATACCTTTTGATTTCCATATAAATTAATAAAATATGTATCCTTAACTGAAAACAAAAAAAACTGTTTAATATTTCAACCTTTTAACAGACTTCATCTTAAATCATAAGCCGAATTACATTTTGATCAGCTGACAAGCAAATTCACTTATTTTCAATATTATCTTTGTAGATCTTTATCATAAGAGATATTCTTTGAATCTTTGTGTTAATATAATTCTACTCGTTGTGAATAATACTCATGGAAGGATTGTGCTTTATGATAGATGTCATCAAGAAGTCCTGTTTTACTTTTGTAAAAGTATCTGTGTAATAATAAGTTTTATAGTATATGTACTGTCTTATATGTTATGTTTCTGTATAGTCTTACTTACATTTCTGTATAATGAGTATTTTGGTGTATACACTTTTATGTATTATGTTTCTAAACAGTGAATATTTGGTAAAACTATTGTCTTACATGTTATTTGTGTACGAAAATATTATGGTATATGTATTGTCTCATGTTATGCTTATGTATTAATATGCTTATGTATTAATATGTATTGCCTTACATGTCATATGTTCCTGTATAATGAGCATTATGAGCATTATGATATATGTATTGTTTTGGGCCCCAAGTGGCCAAGTGGTCTAAAGCACTGTCCATTATGGGTTCGAGTCTAGGATTCGTCGAATGTGGATATATGAGAAAGCTTGCCAGTAGCTTTTCGTGGGTCGGTGGTTCTTTCCGGTAATTTCCCCATTTCTTCCTCCACCATTAATACTGGCTGCCAAGTATATCCTATTGTGTGCTAAAAAATGGCATCAAACCATACAACAACAACAACAATTATATTGTCTTGCATGTTGTTTCTGTATAAGGAGCATTATTATACATATAGTCTTGTTTGTTATATGTGTTATGTATATTTAAGTTGTATTATTATTTGCTTTTCTTAATGATTATATAATACATTTATATTTTGTACTTGACCTTGTCCAAAATCATGTTCACTGTGTAGCTGATCAGGGACATATATTTTGTAAACAATATAATACATAGCTAATGTTTTTCTGTCATTCTGGATTAAAAATATTCAGATAATTATCAATGGTGGTATGCATGTTTATTTGAATCTGAGTCCAGGTCATGGTTTTCCACTTGGAAATTCCTTAACTTGAGTGTTTTGTGGAGGAGGCTGAATTACATCAGGGCTTTATTATTGTCTTAATTTTTTATATAATGTTGTTTACTTCAGAATTACTCACTCTTGCATTAACATACTGAGGAAGAATCAGTTTTATTGTTGTGTTTTTTTTTCTCATTTTGATGGATTTATTTATTCAAATTATGTGTCACTGGAAATACACTGTGCTGAACAATAACATTCTGGTACTGGAAACATTAATTTGGAATTGTAATGAATTCAGACAAGAATATTTTAGGATTATATTATCATGAAACATCAAAAGCTACTTAGCATATAACCCTAATCATGGCCACTGGCACATTAACATAGTAGAGACTACAGGCACATCAACACATTCAATATTGGAACCTATTTGCAATATCCCTGGAATTCAATTGGAATTTTATACCTTTGGACTTGTGATAAAACTTTTAGGACTATTTGGGATTTATTCCATAATAATGTAAGGTCTTTTTAAATTTTTAAGTTTTTATATTCTGAGGAAATAAATTTAAAAAAAACTTGTTGGTTTTAATTATTTTGTGATTCTTAGCTTATGACCATAGAGTTGTAGTTTATATTTCAGTATAATGAGTATTCAGTATATGTATTGTCTTACATGTTATGTTTCTGAATGAGTGTTATGGAACATATATTGTCTTACATGTTATGTTTCTGTATAATGAGCATTTTGGTATGTATTGTATAGTCGTGCATTACATGTTAATTTTACCAAATAAATACTACCACAACTACTTCTACTGGGGCTCAAGGTAGCCGAGTGTCCTAAAGTACTTACCTTTACCAATCACTGCTGTCTCACCTCTGTCCACATGGTTTTGAGTCGTGGGTTTTGCCATTGTGGATATGTGAGAAAGCTTGCCAGTAGTTCATATGGGTCAGTGGTTCTTCCCAGGAATTTCCATGGTTCTTCCACCACCAGCTATACTAGTTGCCATGTACAGCCTATCTTGTGCTGAGAAATGGCATTAAACCAACAACAACTACTAGTATTCTGAATCCAGGAAACTATAAGATTTAGGCTGAATGTCACACCACAGTCGGTCAAGTTATCCCAACAAAGTATTATAGCTCAGCCAATATGGCCTGTTCATTTGACCTTTCACTGGAACAGTCATTTGTCCACCTAATAAAGAAGTATAGTGGTGTGTACAACTTATCTGAGGGAACAGTCTCATTGAACCAGAATCTTGCATGACTGATATTTACCCCAATCAAGTTTCTGGTAAACATCATTATAATGGATTGTTACCAATGAGTGTTACTTATTTTCTTTTTTCTTTCTTTTCATAAAATGCAATTTCAACATTGTTAATTTGATTGAACCTATTCACGCACAAGTGATGCATGTAAATATTACTGTATGTCATTTACACAAGATGGTATGTACTGCCTATATGTATACAATGCCAGTAGCTGTAAGCTCCCAGTCAGTCAATTACACAGTCTATATGTTCATAAGCAAGCTAAAAGAATGGTATCAGATGGAACTGCATCCACCCTCATTATTATGAGAACTTAAGGTCACACAGGATGAAGTCTATGGCTCAACTTAAGTTATCCACTACTTAAAATTTATGGTTGCATTTGTAATTGAACTCGGTGGGTAGAATTTCAAAAGACTGGAGAGGACACCTTGCTCTTAAAATGACTGGCAATTTTTGTGTTGACATTGTTTCTGATTTTTGTAATTGTTGGTTCTGTTTTCTAAAGTCAGCTGTTTTGTCAACAAAGTGGGTGGCACAAATTTTGCTATTTAATGAAATGTCCTAACCTTTCATTGACATTGCACAGAATTACTTTTGATTAACTCCAAAATATAAAACACCCAGGCATTGGCTTGCAGATTAGACAATGACATGTCATCATATATGTATGTTTCTACTCATGTACAGTACTAACATTTTAATTCCATTCCGCATGCACCAGGTGGTATTGTATGTTTCTGGGTTGTCTGTAAGCTAGGCACACAGAGTAATCAATAGTATTCTAGTTTGCCTGAGGCATCTTGGTGACTGTTATGACTGTTGGCAGTCTTAGCTTTGTACCAGGGAAGGTTGTATCAGTATGACTGTTGGCAGTCTTAGCTTTGTACCAGGGAAGGCTGTATCAGTATGACTGTTGACAGTCTTAGTTTTGTACCAGGGAAGGCTGTATCAATCAAAGGCCTTAATTTTTCATTAAATCCGAATTTATAGATTTCGTCTTGTGTGCCACCATTTTAAGTACCTTTGGAGTTCCCTAAGTCTATTCTTGTTTGTCTTTTCCTTGGAGTAGATATATTTGATGTGAATACACAGGACACACTGTAGGTTTTCGATTATATCTTTAGGATGAGAGCTGGATGAGAGGCAAGAGGTCTTGGTAGGGGGTTTGTGCACCCTACAACATCAACACATCCACACCAGATTAGGGGTCAGTATGATCTTTTCTCATTAGGTTTTGTTCTTGTCTCCCCATAAATATGCTGGCATACAAAGGAGTCACTTGGTGCCTCTGAACACAGACTTTAATATAATGCTTATCACAACACAAACATATTGATCTTTAAATTATGGAAAGGGGGGGCAGGCTTAAGTTTGCAGTGACTCATGCTTTCTTACTAGTTTGTATCCCATCATCACTATGTTGCATTGTTTGTATTGAGCAATTTTAGCTGAGATAGTTTGTGATATCTTGTACATAAGAATTGTTGTAAAAGATGCTGAGAATGCAGTCAACAAATTCTGTTTTGTGGAGTGGTTTTTGTAAGAGATAGGTTTACTGGGGTTTAACAGATGTGTGCATTTTTAGGGAGTGTGTAGAAATGGCTGGGATTTTATGTCTGGAGAAAGTATAGATCTTATCATGTACCCTGCATTATACATATCAGTCTGGCTTAAGATCATTGCATTTCTGTGTGTCTGGTTTTGTATGGAACCTTTGATGAATGCATGTAAGAGTGTTCAGCTGAGTGGATTAAAAACATACACTGTAATTTTACTACCTGCCAATTTGTATTATCATATGGATTAAGCTTGCCCCATGCTCAGTGGAAGTAATCATTATTCTGTTAAACATGAGGAGAGAATACTCCTGTGGCCTAGTGGTTAGAGTATCTGCATTGGATGCAGGAAGTTGTGGGTTCAAAACCCAGCTGAGTTGTACAAATATTAATAAAAATGGTACTAGCAGCTGACTCGCCTGGTGCTCAGCATTAAGAGCTAAGTTAGTGTTAAGACTGGAAGGCCTGGTGTCAGGATAATCTATCTGGGTGGGACATCATGTTACATGTCTGTGACATGATGCCCCAGTGCTAGACATCACTATAAACTATAAACCATCACACTGCAGATATTGTTGCAATATGACTGAAAAAATTGTTAAAGCTATGTCAAAAGTCTGAAACACATGCTTACACATTAAACATTAAGATATGTAAGCTGTCGGTTTTAGTCATATAATTATTTTTATTGGTCAGCCTTGCTGAGGTTTTGAGTAGCATCTGGAAATAATGAACATATAAGACAAAAATTCTGAAGCTGTAATGAAACCATATGAAATCTAAATTTGTGCTATAGCAAAGCATGTTTAATTAGCCCTTCCATGTACATAGTTATGATCATAAATATGTCATTTTTGGGGGAAAGCAACAAGTCTTGCAAAATAATTAAGTGAAAAAGCAAAGAATAATCAAGAAAAGAAAGAAGTCAACAATAATCATTTAAGAAGAAATAAGAAAAATTATGATTTGCTTAAAATGAAAATAAAATTCAGCAATTAAGATGAATTATTTATTCTAACAATGCATTGAAGAACTAACAACTAAATTTATGTGTTGCCAAAAATGGCATGTTGTAGAGAAATTTAGAAAAGAACATTTCATAAACTACATGTATAAATCACAAATATGTGAAGTAAAAGCTATACACTGGACGGAATTACATTATATAAAAATGAATAAATATGGAATTGTTGGAAAGTCCCCCTTTATGCATGCGATAAAGATGAATTACCGTATACTCTTGATTACAAGTCAAGTCTAACTACAAACTGTCCAGACCCCGATCTGCCTTCTCATAATGTGCAAGCAGATCTGGATCTATGAGCAATAAGTAGAACAAACAATAAAGGCCATGATATACCAATATATAAGAGCAAAACAGGATCTATGTTGTTTGCATTTGGTCTCGCCTGATAAGGAACAGTACTATATACAGTAAATGAGATAACTTCATTATATAATTTTTTTCTGCATCAGAAAAATATGGCCAGCTTGAAAAAAAGTGCATAAATATTGTCAAATGTCAGACATTTACTTTACAGCCTTAATTCCACTTTTGCTAAACAAGATGCAATATTTAGTTCTTCATCATTTTGATAACTCCTGAAAATATGCAGCTTATTAAATTACATTTAACTTGCAATACATATATAATACCATATAAAATATAACTCCTCATTCAAATGTGTTTGCAAATATATAACTTTGAAGATGATAAACTAGATGATATATATAACTTGAAGATTACATAATTTTAGCTCATGTACCTACAGTTTAAAGTAAGCCAATATTTAATGAGGACAAATATCAAACAGAACATACATTCATACACTATATATTCTCCCTGATAAGTTGAGTCCAATTGCATACCACAATGGCAGATCTGGATCCATGCAGTTTGTTAGGAGTAGTTAGTGAAACAAACATCACCCACCATGATCTGTCAATGCATTATGTGATGGTAGATCATGGTCCATGAAGTTTGCAGTTGGAATCAACTTATACAAGAGTACATACATTATTAAAATTTATTGAATATAAGTATCAAAATGTTTGGGCACAAATTATCTTTCATTTGTCAACTCTGGAACTTGCTAAATGTTTTCTGAAACCAAAGGAACACTTTTTACATAACAAAAATGGATGTTTTGTCTTGTACATTTATCATTCTTCTTAATTCAGTCAAATAATAGAAAACATTTATATTTTTACCATGTATTTAGATATATATATATATATATATATGATGACAAAGTTGCCATAATTAATAACAAGTTTATAACAATTATGACAAAAATCACACAATTAAACAAACATCAAAATAGAATGTCACAGACTTAATTGAAATATGAGAAAAAAGGTTAAATCATATTTTATTTCTTGAATTAAGACTGATATGTAAAACACCCTAAACCAAATTTCAATTCCTACATAAAACTATATTTGCAGCTCATACAGTAAAGGACATGTATGCAGACATTTCACTATTGATACAATAATGCATAAATTCTAATATATTAAAATACCTAATATTGCTATTCTACATTAATCCTGACAAGTTATTCTGTCATGTTTTTTCATAATAAGATAAGAAGGTACTGAATATCAAGTATTTAAATTTGATTTATATGTCTTTGTTGGTAAAAAAAGATGGTGTATAGATAAAACGAGTTGCAACAGAAAGGTACATGGAGTAATCACATTAATTTCTGTTAGGAATATAATTACATTTGTGTGATTTACGACTGGATAATTCCAGCTCAATTAAATTGGAGTTCATGCATTAAAAGAAAAAATGAATATAAATGTATGCATGATTCTCAAATCTGGTAGGAATACTGACAAAGTATTTTGAAAACAAATATAATTTGCTAACTTTGGTTCCATTTTCAGGTTACATTATCACAAAAATAAACTAGTTATCATGAAAAGAGGTTTGAAAAATTTTCCAGTCATATTAAAGCTGAAAACAAAATGTAAATATTTTGGAACTGTTCAGTGTATGCTGACATTGTCACTTTTGATAGTTTCATAAAATGCTGTCCAGCAAAATGGCATTTGTTTATTTATCAGCCAATTAATTACTTCGTGTCACAAAGAAGGGCAACTCCTCGTAGTGTCCAATGGTCTGGATTTTGATGAGTCTTCAAAACAACGGTGGTAATGAATGTCAAGTCAGTTCTTCGTGGTTTCTTGTAGATGGGGCAAACATACATTTTTGGATCATAGCCACTTGTGCTATTGATAGCATATATATGAACAACCGGCATCAACTCAAATAGAACTTTAGGTTTGGGTTCAATTAGTTTGCTGCCACGCTTATCCCAGCCAGCGCCCTCTAGGAAGAGACCGTATACATAGACACCTTCTTGAGGTGGCTGTGTAATGTCATCCTTCAGTGCCTTCAGAACATCGTTATGTACAACAACAGTGTCCAATGCCCAGCCTTTGTGAGCTCTGGTTACCTCCTGAAAAATGACAAACAAATTATATTCCAATACTGCCTGATAAAACAGTTATTGACATAGACTTACAAATTACTTGGAGATATTTTTCTCTAAATAATAAAATAATGGAATTTAAGACCTACCTTATTTCTGGAATATTTCTAAACTTGTGTGAACCGTTATATATATTGCCAAAAGTTACTCAATACAACTGCTTACCAAATTAGTCCATAAAACTCCACTTATCATATTTACCCAAAAACTCTAGAAATTATGAGCTATTTCATAAATAAAATCACATGCCTCACTCCGAATGCCCCAATATATAAATGAATCTAGTTGTAAAAGAAAAAGGGCAATAACAAGTACAAAAATTAGAAAGATTTCTCAGAGTATGCAACTTAGACGATGATCATACTATATACCAAATGTCAGTGTCCATGAAACAATACATTACAAGTGTTGCATTCATAAGATTTTGTCTTACAGTCAACTGAAAGACATAAAGGACAACAACTCTAAAAACTATTGATAAATCAGTGATACAGCAATATGTGCATCTTCAAAATGATTCCCACAGCATCAACTAAGTTCCATGGCAAACCAATAAAATATGTGAGACTAGTTATGTTCATATGATTCTGTCATACACTGCATTGTAAAAGTCCAACCCAGGCTCGATTATGGTTGGAAGCTGAATTGTGAAAGATGTACAGCTCCAAGCCCCCATCCCATGTACACTTCTTCCATTAATAATCTATTGCATCACTTGATTCATATTGTGAGAGATTTCTTTGTGTTCTATTCATCTCTGTATTCTTCTCTCCTATCTCCTAATTCCTACTCTTCCTCCAAATACTTTTCCTCCTCCCCTCCTCAACTTCTCTATACTGCTCTTCCTCCTTGACTTCTCTATACTCCTCCTCTATTTTCTCCTCCAGACTACTTTTCCTCCTCCTCCAACTTCTCTTCACCGACTGCACTTGTGTCAACTCTGACTGCTCTGCCAGTCTCACTTCTGTCTCCCCTATTAGAAACTCTGGACTCAACTGAACTGGAAGTTATATCCCTCCAAAAAGCTTCCTTTATGAATCTTGTCTTCTCTTGGAATCTGTTTCTAAGTTTTACCACCAAATTACAAGTGACTACCAGAGTAATTCTATTTGTACAGTGATCTATCTAGGCATATCTAACTTTTCTGCTTGCAAGTTTGAAGTTATAACTCAGATTTAAGTTGTAATCACATCTCTATCTTAATTCTGATTGGATGTTGCTGTGAACTGATCCAATCAGACTTAGCAGACAATAATCCTCTTGCTGTCTGTCCCTGTGGAGATGGATGAGAACACACCCCTATTCAACCTGAGGGCTTCCTTTGATCTCTGAACAAATATTTGACACCTAGGTGTTAATACTACAAGCCTTTGTCTAGCTGGTACTAACTATAGCCTGGTTGCATAAATATTAACACTAGCCTGCAGCAATGCTTAGACATCAAACAATGTAATAATACTCTTGTGTATACACTTCTTAATAGCCAGGCTGAGCAAACATGAGGCCTTACCAAGTTTCATGGCAATCCATCAAACAACTACAGAACTAGTTGTGCTGATGAGATGGAATGCCAGATGGACAGAGAGACAGATGGCAGAGGATTACTATATACATGTCCAACAACATAGCTACTGCAAAATAATGACCACAAGACAAAATCATTAGACCCATAATATATTATAGTCTCTCACTACAAGACCCCTCAATATACTGATGCCTAAGTCACTTGTATGATTCTCATAAACAGCATAACAAAATGGAAGTACCAGTACTGCTCAAAAGTAAATATGGCAGGATTGTCAGAATGTAAAATAATAGCACAAGACTAACTTGTCTCATGGCAGTAATGAATCCCTGGGCATTAAAGAAGCCAGTCATCCAG